AATGAAAAGGCTGAAAGGTGGGGCTGGCTCCTTCCTGTTTTGATATGCTTTGAGGCACTTGATAAAGATGTTAATGGGATCATTCATAAATCAGGAAACTAATCCTCGGAGGTGCTGATAGCTAATGGAGCACGTGAGAATCAGGAAGATTAAGTCACAAATTTCAAAATCTCAGGCTGGAATTTAATCCCAGACCTTGAGTCCAGACTTCATCTCAAGCAGATGATATGGTTGGAAACATATCCCAACTGCAGTAGTCACATGGAAATGAATTTCCAGTGGTCCTTGCAGTTCACCCAAAGACGACTCCTGGGAATGGGGCACGGAAATGGAGGCCAGGGTGCAGCAAAGGCTTCCTGGAGCAGGTGACCCCAAGGGAGAGTAGCCTATAATAGACACTCAGTAAATGTTAGTAAAACAAATGGAGTTAGTAGATGAAGAAATGAGGGAAGAGCATTCCAGACAGAGATAATACAGGGCCACCTGGCAGGGTCAAGAAGACTTGTAGCCCCTTGGCATACTAAAGTGGCCAGTGGTAGCAGTCTGTCCACATGCAGGCTAGAAGGGGTGCATATCTATAAAGGACTTAATAATAATAGATCCAACTAAGAGTTGGTCTGCCTTTTATCATTGCTGTGCACCAGTGATTTTAAATAATGTCTGTTGAAATACTCCTCTTCAAAGGCTGAGAATGGTGGCTCACGCCTATAATCCCAGCACTTTGGGAGGCAGAGGCTGGTGGATCACCTGAGGTCGGGAGTTCGATACCAGCCTGGCCAACATGGCGAAACCCCGTCTCTACTGAAAAAATACAAAAATTAGCCAGGCATGGTGGCATGAGCCTGTAACCCCAGCTACTCGGGAGGCTGAGGCATGAGAATCTTGAATCCGGGAGGCAGAGGTTGCAGTGAGTTAAGATCACACCACTGCACTCCAGCCTGGGTGACACAGCCAAACTCTGTCTCAGAAAAAGAAAAAAAGAAATACTCCTCTCAAAAAAAATCTTCTGTTGGTTTCAGTTCTAAATAATTGTTATAAATACTGGATTTTATTTGTACATGTAAACTTCACACTAACACATTTTCATTAGCAATCCTTTTTAAAATTTTTATTTTATTAAACAAACAAACAAACAAAATTTATTTATTTTGCATTCTTAGTCTTTGCAGTGATCCTTTAATAAACATTGTATTCTATGTGGAAGTTCATTTGGAGAATGCTCAGTTATATGGTCACACTAATGCCCACATTTGGAGACCACTTTAGGCAAAGGTCACATGTTCAACCCCTGTGGTGTTAGATACATCCAAGTTTACACAGTAGATTCAAAATAAACAATCATGAGTAACTAACAGTGATGATAAAGACACACAGGGCTTGACTTTTTTCAATTCTGTCATTCTATGTAACCAATTGGACTTCTGTGTTAAAACAGTGGAACAGAGAGTGCAAACTGAGAGGCAAACCGTTTTTGTTTTTGTTACATGAAGATTTTTAGTTGGTACATGAAATATTTTACTGAATTTGAATAAAAATTTACCTTTGAAATGAAAACCTATTCCTTTAAACTTGTGAATGGTTTTAAAGTGAAAGATGAATAAGGGAAATAAATGTTATAGCCTAAGTATTATCACCTTAATTGTACTTATGTACATGTTTTGGTTTCATTTATTTATTTTTTGGGGGGACAGAGTTGCCCTCTTGTTGACCAGGCTGGAGTGCAATAGCGTGATCTCAGCTCACTGCAGCCTCCGCCTCCTGGGTTCAAGTGATTCTCCTGCCTCAACCTCCTGAGTAGCTGGGACTACAGGCGTGCATCAACACGCCTGGCGAATTTTGTATTTTTTTTAGTAGAGACCGGGTTAGCCAGGCTGGTCTCCAACTCCCAACCTTGGGTAATCCGCCCACCTTGGCCTCCCAAAGTGCTGGGATTACAGGCCTCAGCCACCATGCCAGGACTATGTTTTGGTTTTATTAAAATTTAATTGTTGGTTGCTGGATGATTATTTACATAAGGGAGTGTATCAGTCTGTAAGGAAAGGATCAAAATTTAAACAGATGTGAAAATGATTGAAATAAATAGTTGTGCATTTTTCATTTTTTGGAACCATACTATTACTTTTATATATTTATTTTATGATGTGAGTATATACACAAAGTTTTGGCAAATAACATTTTCACTTTTACCTTTCCTTTTTCTGACCATTAGTATAATTTGTTTTATTTTACGGTCATTTGAAAATATAAAATTTGAATTATGGAAATAATTTTATCTTTAGAGGAGGGGGTATGAAAAATGATCTGCTCTATGTGTCAAATATGATCCATTCCACAAATATTTCCTAAATGCCAAGTTGGGAGAAACACTAGGTATGTGGGAACTGAAAGAGGCTTCAAATGGGAGTCGGAGATGGCCCCAGGAGGAGGTGAAAGTGGAGTTCCAGCTGAGCAGGTGTTAGCCATAGAATCATTAGCCAGTGTTTCTCAAGGGCCTGCTCTCAGCCCCACTCCATGCTAGTAGCTGGGGACCCTAAGACACCATAAGACCCTTCTTACCCCACTGGTTATGATAGAGCCAATGTCCCTGCTCTCACCAAAGGCCCACTTGTCTATCAGTACTCCAGATCCGGTCCTTTCTTGATTCATCAATGACTTTGCTCTTATAATTGAGCCCTCTCTTTCTGTATCAGTTTCTCCTTTGGAGCAGCCTCATCGGCCTATCATAGGCCCTCCCTTAACTACCGCCTCATTTTTCTGCTCTCATTCATAGCAAAATTTCTTTGAAAGAGTTGTTTGGAGACAGTGTCCCACTCCATCAACTCCTGTTCCCTCTGCAGCATGCTCCAATCTGGCTTCCATCCTACTGCACTTGGTTTTGCCAAAGTCACAAGCGACCTCTGTCTTGCCAAATCCAGTAGTTACCTACCTGCTTATCTCAACTTGTCAGTCTGTTTGGATGACTTTGCTGTTCCCCTGGGCCTTAAATGTAGGCGTCCCCAGGCTCTGTCTTCTGTCCTGTCTTCAAACTACCTCTGGAGCATCCGCTCTAACGGCCTTATAACTACCATCTCTGTGCTGACAATGCCCAAGTTTACATTTACAGCCCTGACCTTCTCTAAGAATAATTAGTAGACATCTCAAAATCAATGTCTAAAACGGAAGTCTTGTTTCAGCCACCTCCAAATCTGCTGCTCCTCTTCCTATTTTTCCATATACCAAGCGGCACAATCATCGCGCAGTTGCTCAAGCCAATAATCTAGGAGCCTCTTTGATTTCTCTTTTTCTCCCTCCCCACTCACTTCCGGTCCCTTACAAGTCCTGGTTTTCATTCTATTTTTAAGAAATGGGGTCTCACTATGTTGCCAAGGCTGGAGTGCACTGGCTGTTCACAGGTGCAGTGATCCTATTACTGTTCAGCACGGGAGTTTTTACCTGCTCTGTTTTTGACCTGGGCCAGTTCATCCCTCTTTAGGCAGCAACCTGCTGGCACCCCACTCCTGGGAGTTCACCATATTGATGCTGAACTTAGTGTGAACACCCAATCAGCACAGCACACTACAACCTGGAACTCCTGGGCTCAAGTGCTCTCCTGCCTCAGCCTCCTGAGTAGCTGGGACTACAGGTGGGTGGGCACCACCTCCATGACCAAACACTGACATCCCTTTCTTAGACAGCTCCTTTAGATTTCTTTTTTTCTTTTTTCTTCTTTTGAGATGGAGTCTCGCTCTGTGGCCCAGACTGGAGCGCAATGGCACGCTCTCGGCTCACCGCAACTTCTGCCTCCCAGGTTCAAGCGATTCTCCTGCCTCAGCCTCCTGAGTAGCTGGGATTACAGGCATGTGGCACTATGCCCTGCTAATTTTTGTATTTTTAGTCGAGATGGGGTTTCACCATGTTGGGCAGGCTGGTCTTGAACTCCTGACCTCATCATCCGCCTGCCTTGGCCTCCCAAAATGCTGGGATTACAGGCATGAGCCACCGCACCCAGCTGCTCCTTTAGATTTCTGACTGCTCTCTCTGCATCCCTCTCGCCCTTTATAATCGATGAGGAGCCAGATGGTTTATTTTAAAAACATATATCAGATCATACCAATTTCCTGTTTAACATCCATCAGTGCTTTCCCATCACACTTAGAATAAAATCCAAACTCCTTTCTATGGTCCTCAAGGCCCTACCCCTCTGTCCTCATGTCACTGCCCTTGTGGTATCACTGTGGTTGCCCTGCCTTTAATTGCCTTCTAGCACTGTCCGGCTCTTTCTTGCCTTAGAGCCTTTGGACCTTTCTCTGGCTGGTTCCTTTGAGGCATGTAGCTTTGAGCTCACATTTCTCTGTTTCGGTTTTCCATAGCACTCATCACCATCTAAAATGATAATAGTTATGAGCTTTATTACTCATTTCTTGTCTGCCCATGTAAGATGGAGATTGCCAGCAAGGACTTTGTTCTTCCTGTTTACCATTTTACTCCTAATTCTGAGATCAGGGCCCAACACATACTGGGCACTCAGTAAACACTGCAGAATAAATAGGTTGTGCCATGAAGCTCCCAGTCGTCAGTTTTTGTACAGACAAGGGACAGAGGTGTCCGGCCTATAGCAGAAAAGCTCCAGCCCTCCCAAAGTTTATGGCAAGATCCCGACCTGGTAGAGTGCTGGCAGAGGCTCTCCTCTCAGCAGAAGGCCCTACACCCGGCCTTGCCTCTCTCTCCAGCCTCCTCCTGGCTGAAGTCTGAGACCTGCGCGTCCCCAGCTTCCACTTGGGTGAAACGGTAGCTCAGACTGAAGGGTGGAATGGGTGGTTTTGGTGGGCGGACAAAATTCCTTTAAGAAGCGGTCAAGGCCTACGGTGGCCGTCAGTGACGCTGCCTTGGTTGGGGCTTGCTGAGGGCCCGTGGGTGGCCTGGGGCAGGGCGGGGTCGGCGCAGGGAGGGATGGGTGGGGTTGACTCCGCCCCCTGGCGCAGCTGTAAATAGGTAAATAGAAGGTGATTGTGGCGTGGTGATGTCCCGATACCCGCTTGAGACGCCGTGGTGGCAGGTGCCCCGTCTGTTCAGGAGACAGCATAGACCTCACCAAGTCTTCATGTACAGCCGCGCGCAGGCTGAAATGGAGCAGGAGACTGGGGAGCTGAGCCGGTGGCAGGCGGCGCACGAGGCCGCCCAGGTGAGTCAGGTGTCAGCCCCTGGCAGGCCGGGAGGGCCAGGCGGGGTGGGGGCCGGCGGGGCGGGGAGGCCGTGGAGGAGAGGGGAGGCGAGGGAAGCAGAAACCCGAGGGGAGGGGTTGCAAGGGAAGGGTGGAAAGGGAGGGTTGGAAGATTGAGGTGTATCATACGTCGTTTATTCCAATAATGTTCGCCCAGCAGTAGAGCTCGTGTTGGGCGCGTGGAGGGTAAGAAGGTTCCAGGCAACTTTCTGGCGAGGGACGTGAGTAGGCAGAACAGCAAATATCAGGTTAGGAAGTGAGCAGAAAACGACCAGGAAAAAAAAACCGAAAATGTTAATTGGAGCCCTACTAAGTGGTAGGCTTTTGCCGGACCCTTGGAATATGATGATGAATTTACCATAAAACAGATAGATATAAAATTTTATTAATAAATCATTAGCTGAGGCCAGGCACTCAATCCTGTATCCCCGCACTTTGGGAGGCCGAGGCGGGTGAATCACTTGAGGGTAGGAGTTCAAGACCAGCCTGGCAAACATGGTGAAACCCCGTCTCTAAAAATAAATAAATAAATAAATAAATCATTAGCTGAATGATTGGAAATGTACAGCATACGAGAAGGAGAAGTCGTGGGTGCATGGGAACAGATACCGGAGGTGTTTGACCTGATTTGGGAGCTTAGGAGACAGCTGAGAATCTGGTCTGGGACTAGAGAACAGAACTGGTCAAGTGAAGGTTTTTCAGGTCTGAGACCAGAGGTGGCTGCTTCCTCTTAGGAGGAACTGAAAGACCAGTGTCTAGACAGTGATGGGGGGAGGGGTGGTGGGGTGGGGGAGCGCCCAGAGACACCATTAAGGTCATTCAGGGCTTGCTTATTCCAAGAGCAGTAGGAAGCCCTTGATGAGTTTAAACATGATCTGGCTCCATTAGATTTGCATTTTCAAAGGAGTGCCCTGGTGGATGTGGGCTGGATTCAAGGACAATAGTTAGAAAGCTTTTGTGATAATCCAGGTGTCTCTAAAATTCATTATATTAAAAAATAAAACAAGATCTTCCCAACTCTTCTAGGGTTTTTTTTAAAAAAGAACATTTGATCTATAGCCAAAACCACATAATCAAACCTATCAAAATTGGATATATTATTTTTATTATTTAATATATTAATAATTAATATATTACTTTAATATATGATATATCATATATAGAGAGAGCCGGGGTCTTGGCTCTGTTGTCCAGGCTGGGGTGCAGTGGTGTGATCTGGGCTCACTGCAACCTCTACTTCCCAGGTTCAAGCGATTCTCATGCCTCAGCCTCCCAAGTACCTGGGATTACAGGTGTGTGCCACTCCGCCCAGTTAATTTTTTGTATTTTTAGTAGAGGTGTTTTGCTAAGTTAGTCAGGCTGGTCTCTAGCTTCTGCCCTCAAGTGGATCCACCTGCCTCAGCCTCTCAAAGTACTGGGATTACAGGCATGAGCTGCCTCGCCCAGCTGATTATTCCTTTAAATCATCTTAGATGCAGCCTTATGCAAATGCCCCTAGCTATTCCTAAAGATACTTTGTAGCTGGTTTGTTCAAACCAGAATTTAAGACTGCACACTGCATCTGGTGATTATGTCCCTTGAGTCTCTGAAGTTAGAAGAATAGTTTTATTTTTTCATGATTGAGATTAGGTTTTTCATAATGCTAACTTTTGTGTTACAGGATGTTTCTTTTGGAGATATCAGATTGCTTCCTCGTGATAATTTAGCTTTATCTTCTGTCACTTGTATTACCTTTAATTAGGATTAGATCTTACAGCTTAATTGGATTCAAGATTTTTGGCAAGAGTGCCTCGTGTACGGTAGGCCTCATCTTGCATTACATCAGGAGATACATCTGGTTACCCGAATCTGGTGATACTTGTATTAAGGTAGTGAAAAGCCTAATTAAGCTTTCTATTAAGGTTTACCCTGTGGTCAGAAAGTAATCTGTGTGATTCTCCCTTGTATGTATCCATTGTCCAGTACTCTACCAGCCATTCACCTAATTTTTTTTTTTTGACACGGAATCTTGCTGTTGCCAAACTGGGGTGCAGTGGTGCAATCTCAGCTCACTGCAACCTCTGCCTCCTGGGTTCAAGCAATTCCCCTGCCTCAGCCTCCTGAGTAGCTGGGACTACAGGCATGCACCATCCATCATGCCTGGATAATTTTTTGTATTTTAGTAGAGAGACAGGATTTCACCATGTTGGCCAGAATGGTCTTGATCTCCTAACCTCATGATTCATCAGCCTTGGCCTCCCAAAGTTCTGGGATTACAGACATGAGTCACCATACCTGGCCAGGGTCACCTACTGGCTTTAACACTAAGTTTAAATTTTTCCTCAAATTTCCTTAGGGGTTACAAAATAAATTTTATTTTCCTTTTTTTTTTTTTTTTTGAGACAGTCCAACTCTGTTCCCAGGCTGGAGTGCAGTAGTGTGATCTCGGCTCACTGCAACCTCTGCCTCCCATGTTCAAGCAATTCTCGTGCCTCAGCCTCCCCAGTAGTTGGGATTACAGGCGCAAGCCACTGCATATGGTCGCAAAATAAATTTTCAAATTCCACCATTCATTCTACATTTATTAGTTTGTATTCTTCTGTAAAGTAGGAAGAAGGTTTTAACTGTAGTCATTTGGTAATTTTGAAATAATTTTTTTCTTGGAGAGGCAGAATAAATGCTTAATTTATTCACTTCAATTAGCAATGTTCAGTTTGGGTAATAGCTGGGCCTTTGTCACTTGGGGCTGCAGTGAGCCATGATGATACCACTGCATTCCAGCCCAAAATGAGCTGTGATTGACTGCGCTTCTCACACCTCAGCCTCTGGAGTAGCTCGGACTACAGACACTTGCCACCACACCTGGCTATTTTCAATTTTTTTTTGAGATGGAGTCTCACTCTATTGCCCAGGCTGGAGTACAATGGTGTGATCTTGGTTCACTGCAACCTCTGTCTCCAAGGTTCAAGCAGATCTCTGCCTCAGCCTCCGGAGTAGCTGGGATTCTGTAGGCACCTGATACCATGCCTGGCTAAATTTTATATTTTTTAGTAGAGATGGGGTGTCAGCATCTTGGCCAGACTGGTCTTGAACTCCTGTCCTTGTGATCCACCTGCCTTGGCCTCCCCAAAGTGCTGGTATTACAGGTGTATTCTTTATCGTAAGCATTTAAACCAGTGGATTTTCCCCTTATCACCGCTTTTGCTGCATCCCCTAAGTTTTGGTAGTTATGTTTTCCTTTTTATTGGTCTCTAAGTATTTTCTAGTTTCTGTTGTACTTTTCTTTTTATTTGACCCATTGATTGTTTCAGAGAATGGTGTTTAATTTCCACAGATTTGAAAATTTTCTAATTTATCTGGTTGTGGGTCAGAGAAGATACTTTGTATGATACGTTTTTTTTTTTGTTTTGTTTTGTTTTTTGCTTTTTTTCTAAAACAGCAAGAAAAAGTGTCTTTCTCTTTAAATCTATCGAGACCTAATTTGTATTCTTCTGTAAAGTAGGAAGTACTGTCTGGTTTTCTAAAGAATGGCCCATGGGCACTTTCAAAGAATGTGTATTCTACTGTTGAGTAGTGTTTCTGTGTATGTCTGTTAGATCTAGTTGGTTTATTGTGGTATTTGGATCTAAATATATACACAGCATATATTTGGATCATGTTTTTAATCCATTCTGCCAATTTGTCTTTTGGAAAGCATTATTCATTTACTTTCCGAAGTATTTTACTCGCAAGGAAGGATTTAATTCTGCCATTTTGTTCCTAATTTCCAGCATTGTCTTTTTGTTTAATTGATCTTTTTTTGACAGTGAAACTTACATTTCCATATAACACAATTTCCTTTTGTATATTTTCTTTTTTTTTTTTTTTTTTTGTTTTGAGTTGTAGTCTCCCTCTGTCGCCCAGGCTGGCGTGTAATGGCTGGATCTCAGCTGACTGCAACCTCCGCCTCCTGATTCAAGTGATTCTTTTGCCCCAGCCTCCCAAGTAGCTGGGACTTAACTCGGCTAATTTTTGGATTTTTAGTAGATGGGTTTCACCTTGTTGGCCAGGCTGATCTCAAAGTCCTGACCTTAAGTGACCCACCCACCTCAGCCTCCCAAAGTGCTGGAATTACAGGTGTGAGCCACTGTGCCTGGCCCCTTTTGTATATATTCTTCTCTAGCTATTTTCTTTGTGGTTGCCATGAGGATTACATTTGACGTCCTAGTTATAACATTCTAATTTGAATTTATACCAGATTAACTTCAGCAGCACATAAAAAATGCTTCTGTACAGCTCAATTCCCACCTCTTTTCAGTGACCTCACAAAATTACATTTGTGTGCATTGTATGTCAAAAAATAAAAGTATAAATTTTAATGCACTTTTAAATCATGTAGGAAACAAAAAGTGGAGTTATCAAAGTTATAATAATACTCACTTTTACAGTTGTCCATATATTTACCCTTATCAGAAAGTTTTCTTATGACAGATTTCTTCACTTGGCTTCAAGCTACTGCCTAGCGGCGACATTTCATTTCAACCTGAAGGACTGCCTTTAGCATTTCTCGCAGGGCATGTCTAGTGGTAATGACCCCAGCTTTTGTTTATCTGGGAATGTCTAATTTCTTCCTCATTTTGGAAAGACAGTTTTGCCACATACAGGTTGCTTGATTTGTGTTTTCCTTTAGCACTTTGAATACATCAACCTGTGGTCTTTTAGTGTCCAAGGTTATTGATGAAAGAGCTACTGGGAATTTTTGGGATCCCCTATAAGTGATGAGTCACTTCTTAATATTTTCAAGATTCTCTCTTTGTCTTGGGCTTTCAACAGTTTTATTATAATGTTTCTTGGTATGAGTCTGTGAGTTTATCTTACTTGAATTGCATTCAGCTTCTTGGATGTTTGTATTCATATTTGGAAGTCTCTTGAGTGGGAAGGGGAGGAGGTTGTAACATTGGGGGCTGAGTTGCAACAATGGCTGCCTACCTCTGTCTGCACCTCATAATCAGAAACAGCAAATAACAATCAGGACATAGATCCCCATTAGTCAGAGGACAAGGTTTTTATTGCCCACTCTGGCTCCTGCAGGCTGCATGAAAGTAGCTCCAGGAACATAGGGTGTGTATGGGTAGCCATTACCTATCTAAGAGTTTAGCTTGACCAAAATTAACTACAACTTACTCTCAAAGCCTTCCCTTGGAAGTTATAAGCCATTTTTTTGAGACAGAGTTTTGCTCTTGTTACCCAGGCTGGAGTTGCAATGGCACGATCTCGGCTCACCGCAACTTCCACCTCCTGGGTTCAGGCAATTCTCCTGCCTCAGCCTCCTGAGTAGCTGGGATTACAGGCATGCACCACCATGCCCAGCTAATTTTTTGTATTTTTAGTAGAGACGGGGTTTCACCATGTTGACCAGGATGGTCTCGATCTCTTGACCTCGTGATCCACCCGCCTCGGCCTCCCAAAGTGCTGGGATTACAGGCTTGAGCCACTGCACCCAGTGTTACAAGCCTTTATTTTTATTTATTTTTTATTGCATTTTAGGTTTTGGGGTACATGTGCAGAACATGCAAGATAGTTGCATAGGTACACACATGGCAGTGTGTTTTGCTGCCTTCCTCCCCTTCACCCACATTTGGCATTTCTCCCCATGCTATCCCTCCCCAGCTCCCCACCACCGCTGTCCCTCCCCTATTCCCCCCAATAGACCCCAGTGTGTAGTACTCCCTTCCCTGTGTCCATGTGTTCTCATTGTTCATCACCCACCTACAAGCCTTTAATACCCTGCATTGTTCCAAACAACTTACAGCAGACAAATGCCGCCAGTGCGATAGTTATCATGCTGGGGATACGGGTTCCTGGTGCTTCCTAGCCTGCCAGCTTCTTTGATGTCACTTCCTGTCTCCTTTGACCCAGTCCTAATCTTTGAAAGCTCCCTTATTTTCTGGCACAAAATGTACCAGGCTCCCTTCAGCCTTCCTTTTTTTCTCAGTCTTGGAGTCAGGAAATTCTTGGTCTAACTTTTAGCAAGGAATAGAATTAGAGACAAGTCTAGGCTCTAAAGGCACACATTGTTATTTTATTTTTTTGAGACCGAGTCTCATTCTGTCACCAGGCTGGAGTACAGTGGCACAATCTTGGCTCACAGCAACCTCTGCCTCCTGGGTTCAAGCAACTCTCCTGCCTCAGCCTCCTGAGTAGCTGGGACTACAGGCACGCGCCACCATGCACAGCTAATTTTTGCATTTTTAGTTGAAACGGAGTTTCACCGTGTTGGCCAGGATGGTCTCAATCTCTTGACCTTGTGATCCACCCACCTTGGCCTCCCAAAGTGCTGGGATTACAGATATGAGCCACCATGCATTGGTATTAGAGTTACAATTTCTAATGGACAGAGTTAGAATATGTATATACGTATATGTTATATACATACACACACACACACACACACACACACACACATTGTGAATTTGTATAGAATATTTCCTCTTTAAATTTAGCGTTTTATTATTTTTTTGAGACTCTGTCACCCAGGCTGGACTGCAGTGATGTGATTACAGCTCCCTGCAGCTTTGACCTCCCGGGCTCAAGTGGTCTTTTCCATTTCAGCCTCTTGAGTGGCTGGGACTGCAGGTGTCTGCTACCATCCCTGGCTAGTTTGTTTGTTCTGTGTAGAGGTGAGGATTCACGATGTTGCTCAGGCCTGGCCTCAAGCGATCCTCCCACCTGGGCCTCCCAAAGGGCTAGGATCATAGGCATGAGTCACTGTGCCCAGCAACTCCAACTTATTTTAAACCACATTACTAAAAATAGCACTCAAACAGAAAAGTGAATATAAGTACAGCTTCTACAAAGTAATGAACTCTTATAAAGAAAAAACCTGTGAAACTATCACTCAGGTCAAGAAATAGAAGCCCCTCCAGTGCTCCTTTCTTACCTTTGCCCCATTCCCTTACTCTCTAATATAATTCCTATCCTGTTGTCTGGATGTAACTTCTTGGAATTTCCCTATTTCTGACCTGTAATGTTCCTATAACTTTGCTGCAAAAGTTGTAATTGCTTTTAAGTTTTGCCTTCTTTCCTTCCTTCCTCTTCCTCTCCCCTTCCCTTCCTTTCCTTTCCTCTTTCCTTTTCTTTCTTTTTTTGATGAAGTCTCACTCTGCTGCCCAAGCTGGAGTGCAGTGGTGCAATCTCAGCTCACTGCAACGTCCACAGTTTCAAGCGTTTCTCCTGCCTCAGCCTCCCGAGTAGCTGGGACTACAGGCGTGTGCCACCGCGCCCAGCTAATTTTTGTATTTTTAGTAGAGACGGGGTTTCACCATGTTGGCCATGATGGTCTTGAACTCCTGACCTCAGTGATCCACTCACCTCGGCCTCCCAAAGTGCTGGGTGCTGGGATTACAGGCATGAGCCACTGCACCAGGCCTCTTTCTCTTTCTCTTTCTCTCTCTCTCTCTCTCTCTCTCTCCCCCTCTCTCTCCCTCTCTCCCCCTCTCCCCCTCCCCCTCTCTCCCCCTCTTTGTCTCTCTCTCTCTCTTTCTCTCTTTCTTCTTTCTTTCTTTCTTTGTTTCTTTCTTTCATTTGAGTGTTATTACGTTTACCCTTGATTTGCAATTTTCTGGTGATATTTTTTGAAAAAAATTGCAATCTTCAATTTGTCTTGATAGTTTAGTATCTTATGGATACTGGGTTGTTGTTTTTTTTGTTTGCTTGTTTTGTTTTGTTTGAGACAGTCTCACTCTGTTGTCAGGCTGGAGTACAGTGGCATGATCTCGGCTCACTGCAACCTCCGCCTCCTGGGTTCAAGCAATTCTCCTGCCTCAGTCTCCCAAGTAGCTGGGACTACAGGCATGCGCCACCACGCCCAGCTAAGTTTCATATTTTTAGTAGAGATGGGATTTTACCGTCTTGGCCAGGCTTGTCTTGAACTCCTAACCTCGTGATCCACCTACCTTGGCCTCCCAAATTGTTGGGATTACAGGCGTGAGCCACTTTTGTTGTTGTTGCTTAATTTTTTTGAGACAGGGTCTCTGTCAGCACTGACTGGAGTGCAATGGCCCAATCTCAGCTCACACAACCTCCACCTCCAGGCCTCAAGTGATTCTCCTGCTTCAGCCTCCCGAGTGGCTGGGACTACAGGCACCTGCCACCACACCCAGCTGATGTTTTTGTTTCCTTTTTGAAACTTCCAAGCTCAATCAATCCACCTGCCTTGGTCTTGCAAAGTACTGGGATTACACAGTTGTGAGCCACTGTGCCTGGCCTACTGACAGTTTTGAAAAAATATGATTCTTGGCTCCTATCCTATTTTAAGACCTTCTACCAATCTCTTTCTTACCCTTCATGCAAGTCATCAAGGGATAGTGCCCCTGACTTCCAGACAATCCCCATCCCTTTTATGTATAATTTGGAGTTCGGGCCAGGGGCAGTGGCTCACGCCCGTAATCCCAGCACTTTGGGAGGCCGAGGCAGGCAGATCACCTGAGGTCAGGAGTTTGAGACCAGCCTGACTAACATGGAAAAACCTGTTTCTACTAAAAATACAAAATCAGCCTGGTGTGGTGGCGCGTGCCTGTAATCCCAGCTACTTGGGAGGCTAAGACAGGAGAATCGCTTGAACCTGGAGGTGGAGGTTGTATGAGCTGAGATCACACCCCTGCACTCCAGTGGGGCACCAAGAGCAAAACTCCACCTCAATATTTAGAGTTTGAACATTTTCTCAAAGTTTTGCTGAAGGGGTAGGTTATGAGATGTTTTATTTCCTCTCTTTGTTGCTTTGCATGTAATAAAAAGCAAAAAACATGTCGGAGGGAAAGTGGCATGAGTTACATTTAGGCTTCCTTGGGGCTCGTATCAGCCGGACCTGTTAGAAAGCCCAAGCTGGAAAATGGTTGGAGGCAGGAGAATTCAAGCAGGAGATGGAGATAGAGGGCTGGATTAGGATGGGGTCTGGGGATAAAGAGGAGGAACATGTGGAACTAGAATTTGAGCAAGGGTAAAAATCACCTGACTGTCTCTCTCCCCAAGGATAATAAGAGCTTGGTGCCCATCTTGAACGTGGCTTCATCTACTGGGAGCTCTGGAGTGCACCCCTCTTGGAACCATGGCCTACCAAGCGTTCAGCACTCTCCTCACAGCACAGGGATGCCGGGGTCCCCCTTGGTGTCTGTGGAGGCGCCGGGGCAGAATGTGGATGAAGAGGGGCCCCCATTTAGCATGCCACTGCCTGAGCGTGATGTGAGCTACTGCCCCCAAGCGACTCTCGCTCCTTCCCGGGTGATTTACAGTCAGGGAGTGTCTCCCTGTCAGCAAGAGATGATGATATTCAGTGAGCCTCAGATAATGCCTATAGTTGAGTCCAATATTCCAGGAGTGGCCGGGGCCTTCAGTGGCAATCTAAGCATGCACCCCAGTGGGCTGCCAGTCTCGGCTTCCACTGGAATCCCAATGATGTCCCATGCTGGGGACCCTACCATGCCTTACCCTGGCCTCTCGACAGCACCTGCTGATGAAACAGCATTAGCTCCAACCATGCCTCCCATGGAGTCCCAGGCCGTGCTCCCCTCTGTGGCTCAGATGTTGCCCCAACAAGGCACCCATGACCTTGGGATGCCCCCAGCTGAGTCCCAGTCATTCCTGGGTTTAGGATCTCAGGATTCTCTTGTGAGTCAGCCAGACTCCCAAGAAGGCCCATTCCTACCGAAGCAGCCCACACCTGCTCCACAAGCAACAGAGCAGAACTCCAGGCCTCAGGAATGGAGTGGGAGAGGGGACTCCTCAGAGGCCAGGCCTTACTGCTGCAACTACGAGAACTGTGGAAAAGCTTATACCAAACGCTCCCACCTCGTGAGCCACCAGCGCAAGCACACAGGTAAAGGAGGTGTCAGGTGGGGTGGGGATGGAGGAGTCTCTGGGCTTTACATTTGTCCTGGACCACTGGTGGGTAATTGTTTGGGATGAGTCTTTCATCTTCCAAGTTTGGAACTAAGCTAGACTTGCCATCCAGGAGGACTGTGACAAGATACCTGGGCGGGCACTCCTGAGAATGTTGCTCCTCCCTGGTTCCCTGGACCTTTCCTTTTGAATCCTCAACCTGGACTGCTCTGCCTCATGGAGTCAGATGCCTTCCTTCCTACTTCTATTCTAAATTCCTTCTCCCTTGTCATTCCCAGGTGAAAGGCCCTATTCGTGCAAATGGGAAAATTGTCAGTGGTCTTTCTTCCGTTCTGATGAGCTTAGACGACATTTTCGGGTACACACCAGATATCGACCATATAAATGTGATCAGTGCAGCAGAGAGTTCATGCGATCTGACCATCTTAGGCAACACCAGAAGACTCATCGGCCAGGACCCTCAGACCCACAGGCCAACAATGGAGAGCAGGACGGTGCTCCTGCTCCTGGTCCTTAGGTCAGTCTCCTCATTCCAGGTTTTCTACACAGCTCCTGCCTGCCTCTGCTGTCTAAGACCTTCTCCCCTGGGCAGCAAGAGTGAAACTCCATCTTGGGGGGTGAAAAAAAGCTCTTTATTGGCCCGGGGGGGCAGCGGCTCACACCTGTAATCCCAGCTACTCAGGAGCCTGAGGCAGGAGAATCACTTGAACCTAGGAAGCAGAGATTGCAGTGAGCCAAGATCGCGCCACTGACTCCAGCCTGGGTGACAGAGTGAGACTCCATCTCAAAAGCAAAACAAACAAACAAAAAAGCTCTTTATTTCTTGTTACTCCCCAGCTTAAAACCCTTTAGTGACTTCTTTGCCTGCTATATAAAATCCAGTTTCCAGAGCCAGATTATTTTCAAATCCTGAATTTACCACTGAATAGCTATGTGACCTTGGGAAAGGTCTTGGATCACTATGCCTTGTTTCTTTTTCCAGAAAATGAAAAAACCAGTTTTGGACTATATTGGACATGGCACATATAATGCATCAGGTTCTCCCTGGCACTCACTGGCCACGTACCCAGAGTTTCTGTTTCTTCCCACCACTTCACAGACTTGGATGGAGTGGCCTAGCACAGGGCATGGGATCCCAAGTTGCCACTAGCAAACTTAGAAGTGTGGGGAAACTTGTTTATTTGAGACAGTCTTGCTCTGTCACCCAGAGTGGAGTGCGGTGGTGCGATCTCAGTTCACTGCAACCTCTGCCTCCTAGGTTCAAGCAATTCTTCTGCCTCAGCCTCCTGAGTAGCTGGGATTACAGGCAGGTGCCGCCACACCTGGTTTATTTTTGTATACTTTGTAGAGATGGGATTTCACCATGTTGGCCTGGCTGATCTCAAATTCCTGGCCTCAAGTGATCTACCTGCCTCAGCTTCCCCAAATGCTGGGACTACAGGCATAAGCCATAGTGTCAGGCTGGGAGTTAATATTTATGAGACGAAATTTGACTAGTGGAAAATGGGAGATAGGTGAGACTCGGGTAGATAAATTCCCCCTTTTCCTCTCCCTTTCAGAAATTGTTGCATGACACCACTTCTCCAAAACAGTACCATCAATGGGGAGACCTCCCAAGTAGCTGGTGGACACAATTGCTGTGTCCTCTGCAAGGCTTGTCATGAAGCAGCCCCTGGCCTGCTAATACATCATCTCGCATTGCTTCCTATTCTGTCCTGCCTTTCTTCCATTTTCTCATTTCCAAAGCCTTTGGTTTGCACCTCTCCAAATAAAACACCAGTTCCTAGTTCTTGTTTTCAGGCTCTGTTTTCTAGGTGACTGAGGGCTAGGAGGGAAAGGAGGATCTAAGACTAGGACAGATAAGGAAGAATCTCACTATATTCTGCTCCTCTCACCTTCCTTAGGTCCCTGGACTACCAAGCACCAGATATTAAGTGGCCTATCTTTCCCTGCTCTCCCTTGGGGTCCTGATAACTCAGCCAGGTAGTTTAGAATCTCATATCTAGACTCAGCAGGCCGTTTTACTCCAGCAAACTGATAAAGCTATCAAGTGTAGAGCTAGAATCCCAACCAGGATCTGTCTGCCCCAGAGGTGGTCTCTTCCCTAAGAAGATGGTGCCTTGTATGGGTGTTTCCTGAACCCAGGCTGGTGCCGAGCATGGAGAGAGCTGGTTTCTCTGCTCAAGGGCTTCTGTGTCTTGATCCGGGGACTCAGAGGTCCACCTCAGTACAGTGGCCATGGGGAAGAGGAGCCCCTAAATGGGAGTATCAGAAAGGCTTTCTGGAGGAGGTAACCCCTGGGTCCAGTAAGAGTGTAACACATAATTATCACTCAAATTTTGAAATAAACTGAACAGGTGAATGAAGAAGGAAAAGGATTCCAGACAGAACACTGGACCTCACAACTGCTCAGAGGAGAGGCAGTCTTGAACTTCTACATTCATTCAGCAAATGTTTTTTGAGCCTACAATACTGAATGCACCAAGGCTGTGGCGACCCATTGCGAGGAGTAAGGCGATAACTAAAGGATGTGTCAGAGAAGAAAGACTTCCTGTGGAGGTGCCTCTTTCAGACCCGAAGGACTCATGGGGTTAGCTGCACCTCTCATTTCTTGGACATATACCACTGGACATGTCTCTCTCTTCTGGAAACTAGCATGGACAGTTAGGATTCAGAGGTGCATGAAGACAACCTGCCTCTGTAGAGCAGAAAGCTCATAGACAACATTTATGAATGTACCCAGTGCTGCCAAGGAGAGAAGCTGGACCTCTGCAGGCTCAAGCTTATCTGGGCCTCTGGGGAAGCCACACGGCCTTGGCTGTGCCTGCCCCTGGCCTCCCACCCCTACCCTGACCCTGCACTACACTACCTTGATCTGTGTTACTAGTGGCCTCGGTATTCCTGGGATGGACATCCAGGTGCCCTCCATCCAAGCTCCCAAGTGAGAGGAGTGGACATGATTAAAAGAACAGGGGCAGAAGGGGCTTATTTATGACCCATTCACTAGCCCCAGTTTGAGGTCTTGGGTACTCAGTCTCTTTCATTTCTCCCAGGGCATCTGATCCCTTCCATGGAGCAGGCCATCTTGGATTCACTGGGCCAGGGCTGGTCTCTGTTCCTCAGCCCATCTGGCTCACAGACAGCCTTGTGGGTAGGGTCAGCAGACCAAATTGCTTCTTGCTGAAATGTAAGATGAGAGATGGATGTGGAGAGCACCAGAGTGATGAAGGGTATATGATATGCACTGTAACGGTGGGCAAATGGGCTCCTGCTCTTGTGGAGGTCACAGTCTAGTGGAGGACACTAGAAATGTACAAAGTGGGCCAGGCGCCGTGGCTCACGCCTGTAATCCCAGGACTTTGGGAGGCCAAGGCAGGTGGATTGAGGTTAGAGGTTTGAGACCAGCCTGGCCAACATGGTGAAACCCCAACTCTACAAAAAGTACAAAAATTAGCCGGGCATGATGGTGGGTGCCTCTAATCTCAGCTACTCAGGAGGCTGAGATGAATAATCACTTGAATCTGGGAGGTGGAGGCTGCAGTGAGCTAAGATTGCACCACTGGACTCCAGCCTGGGTGACTGAGCGAGACTCCGTCTCAAAACAACAAAGACCTGTGAACTCTCTAGTAGATTCTGAATCCTGTGGAGGATGACTTGAGGCTAGGAGTTTGAAACCAGAGAGACCTTGTCTCTACAAAAAATGAAATTAAAAAGAGAAAAAATGTACTAATGCATTTAAAGCTTTGAGTTATCCATCCTTCTCTGCAGAGGTAACCACTGTACTGAATTTTGATTAATCTTGCCTTAGCTATTTATTGTTTTTACCACGTAATGTATCTGTTCTTATAGTGATTGGTTTTGTATGGTTTTCAACTAACCTTTGTTCTGTTTGGGATTTATTGAACTTTTTCAGTCTAAATGGTTATAGTCTTAATAAAATTTCAAAAAATTTTGGCCACTGTTTTGTCAAATTTTGGAGTTCTCTTCCATCTTCTATTTCTGACACACGGTCTGCCTATATGATGGGCCACTTGATACTGTCCCTCAGATCACTGATACCCTGTTCGTTTTTTTCAGTCTTTTTTCTTTTCTATTTTTTTTTATTTTTTATTTTTTGAGACTGAGTCTTGTTCTGTCACCCATGCTGGAGTGCAGTGGCACAATCTTGACTCACTGCAACTTCTGCCTGCCAGGTTCAAGTGATTCTCATGCCTCAGCCTCCCAAGTAGTTGGGACTACAGGCATACCACCATGCTGGCTAATTTTTGTATTTTTAGTAGAGATGGGGTTTTATTATGTGGGCCAGGGTGGTCTCGAACTCCTGACCTCAGATGATGCATCCACCTTAGTCTCCCAAAGTTCTAGGGTTATAGGCGTGAGCCACTATGCCCAGCCTCAGTTTTTTCTTTCCCTGCTTCATTTTAGATGTCTTAAAGTTCCTCGATCTTTTCTTCTGTAGCATCTAATCTGCTATTCCATTCAGTATATTTTTCATTTTAAATGTTGTATTTTTCATCTGTAGACATTCCATCTGGATCATTTTTAATCTTCCATTTTTCCCTTTATGCTCATGTTTTTCCTCTATCTTCTTAGACAAAAAAACATTTAGTGCTCCCTTCAGCAGCACATATACTAAAATTGAAATGATACAGACAAGATTAGCATGGCCCCTGTGCAAGGATGACATGCAAATTTGTGAGGCATTTCATGTTTTTCAAATCAAAACCACAGTGAGATGCCATCTCACACTAGTCAGAATGGCTATCACTAAAAAGCCAAAAATAGGCCATTCTTTCTGAAACAAAAAAATGTAAAAAATTTTAAAAAGAAAAAACAATAGGCCAGGTGCAGTGGGTCACACCTGTAATCCTAGCACTTTGGTAGGGTGAGATGGGAGGATTGCTTAAGGCCAAGAGTTCAGGACCAAACCAACCTATCTTTATTTTAAAAAAGATCAAAGGAAAAAAAAAAGAGGCTGGTAAGGTTGGGGAGAAAAGCTTATACACCCTGGTGAGAGTAAATTAGTTCAACCATTGTGGAAAGCAGTGTGGCAATTTCTCAAAGACCTAAAAACAACTACCATTTGACCCAACAATCCCATTACTAGGTAGACACCCAAAGGAATAGAGATCATTCTTCCATAAAGACACATGCACACATGTTTATTGCAGTACTATTCACAATAACAGACATGGAATCAACCCAAGATACCCATCCATGGTAGACTGACTAAAGAAAATGTGATACATATACACCGTGAAGTATACAGTCACAAAAAAGAATGAGGCCATGTCCTTTTCAGGAACGTGGATGGAGCTGGAGGCCACTAACCTTAGCAAACTAATGCAGGAACAGAAAACCAAGTACCACATGTTCTCACTTATAAGTGGGAGCTAAATTATGAGAACATATGGACACGTAGAGGGGAACAACACACATTGGGGTGAGGGTGGGAGGAGGGAGAGGCTCAGGAAAATTAATAGGCTTAAGACCTGGGAGATGAAATAATCTGTACAGTAAACCCTAGTGACATGAGTTTACCTAGATAAGAAACCTGCACATGAACCACTGAATTTACAGTTTATTTAAAAGCGTATTTATAATGGCTGTTTTAGCATCCTTAGATGCTAGTTCCTTAATATTTGTTCATTTTGGGATCCGTATCAACTGATTTTTTTTTTTTTTTCTCGGAAATTGGCTGATTTTTTTTTTTTTTTACTGGATACCAAACACTGTGAATTTACATTGTTGGTTGCTGGATTTTGTTTTATTCCTTTAAATAGTATTGACCTTTTTTTCCCCCTGGCTTCAATTTACTTGAATCCCTTTGAGGCCTACTTTTTGAAGCGTTTTTTTAAGCTAGGCAGAGCTGCTACTTTTCTAGGGCTAGTTGCCCCAGTACAAATGTAACATCCTGAGGATTTTGCCTGATGCTCTGTGTATGTCTTTGCAGTCTGGTGAGTGAAAACATGGGTAAACTGTCTCTATGAAAACTGCAAAAATTAGCCGGGCACAGCAGGACATGCTTGTAATCCCAGCTACTTGGTGGGCTGAAGTGGGAAGATTGCTTGAGCCTGGGAAGCAGAGATTGCAGTGGGTTGAGATCGTGCAACGGCACTCCAGCCTGGGTGACAAAGCAAGTCCCTGTCTCAAAAATAAAAATAAAACATTATCTGAGACATTTTTCAGAGGGGTTCTTTTTTTTTTTTTTTTTTTTTTTTTTTTAAGACAGCGTCTCACTCAGTTGCCTGGGCTAGAGTGCAGTGGGGCGATCTCAGCTCACCATAGCCTCCCTCTCCCAGGTTCAAACGCTTCTCGTTCCTCAGCCTCATCAGTAGCTGGGATTATAGTCAGGCACCACCATGCCCAGCTAATTTTTTGGATTTTTAATGGAAATGGGGTTTCACCATTTTTGCCAAGCTGGTCTTGAACTCCTGGCCTCAAGTGATCCACACGCCTCGGCCTCTCAAAGTGCTGGGATGTGCGCCACTTCACCCAGCCCAGAGTGGTTCTCGACTCATTAATGGGTTGTGAGCTAACTAGAGAAACAGTAAGTTGCACAAGTTTGAGAGCCTGGCTGAGTTTGGTGACAATGAATCTACAGAAGTGCTAATCTACCCTGTTGTGGACTTTCCCCAGTGGCAACAGTCACTTGTGTAGTAGTGAAAGTAGTTGATCAGAGTCATCAAGCATTGAGGTTTTTCAGGTGCGTGTAACAGCAGGACAAAGGCACAAGGGAGGTTAGGAGAAATAATGGACTATAGAATCTAAGAGAGATGGGGATGGAATGTCCAGAGGGGGCTAAGGAATTGGGACAGCATGGAGCTACCAATGGGTTGGAGGTTCTGATGAAGTCAGATAACTGGTGTATTCGGAGCAACCAAGTGAGACTGGAAAGATGAAGGATGGTGATGGAGACTAGATGTTGAATAGGTGCTTTTGAAGGTAGGACAGTTTCAAATGATGGCAAAATCCTGGATACAGCTATAGAAGTGGGTGGCTGAGGTGGGCTACACGTGAAAGTTTTCAGGAAGGTGGAGTTTGACATAGGCAGGTGACAAATTCTTAGAGGAATGAGTTCACGTGACCAAGAATGTAAGGGAAGTGACTCAGTGACTAGGAGTAGAATGGTGGAGGATCTAATGGGACAGTTTTGGTGAGAAGGAAGAATCACTGTAGCATAGCCAAAGGTAGGTAGGGTGTAGAGAATGAGAGGTCTTCACAAGGCAGAGATGTGGGATTACAGGCATGAACCACCACACCTGGCCAGAATTATTATTATTATTATTTTGAGATGGAG